CCAAACAACCCGACTCTAAAGCACGTAAATATCGATCAATTATCTCAATGTACAGGACTTGCACCTTCTGTGGAACCCCTGTCAAGGGGACTTATTTGAGACAAAAGATTAAAAATTACGGCTTATACGCTACACCTCATAATGCCTTAGGCAAAATGATTTAGCGATGGACATTTCCCTATTCACTCGCCGTTACTGGGGGAATCCTGTTTAGTTTCTTTTCCTCCGCTTACTGATATGCTTAAGTTCAGCGGGTGCTCTCGACTGAGTTCAGGTCAAAAAATTAATATTGTTGATGATACATGCGAACAATTAAACATATCTAACAATCAATTTAAAACATAAAGAAGCCACAAAAGCAATTATACAATAAAGCTTTCGCTTTGAAAGAAAATGACCCTGAACCAGACATAGCAAAGGGTTTGACCCCTATGCGGCAATATGCGTTCAAAACTTTTATGCTCAAGGCTGCTGCAGTTCGCAAAACTTATCGCAGTTTGCTGCGTTCTTCATCGATCCACGAGCCTAGTGATCCACCGGAAAGGCTAGGAATTTTGTTTTTTTTTAAAATATAGAGAAAAAAAGAGTGCTGGCGTCCTCACTTAAGAGGCTCATTAAGTCTTAAACTCATTATAGTCCTAACATGTCACCACATATACAGCCACGGACGTTCACAACTGTATCAGCAACACCTAGACACCAGCGACAGCCGTTACACAACAATTATTTCATTGCGATTCAAAATTGAACATCACATAAAGTAATGATCCAGCAGCAGGTTCACCTACAGCTACCTTGTTACGACTTTTGCCCGGTTCAAGCCACTGCGATTAAATTGGTTTCCATCAAAATAATTTAGATAAATTAAATCAACGGTCCCCAAATTTCTCGAAATGGCTCAGTCCCGGGCAGCGACGGGCGGTGTGTACAAAGGGCAGGGACGTAATCAACGCGAGCTGATGACTCGCACTTACTTGGAATTCCTCGTTCACGGAAAATAATTGCAATTTCCGATCCCAATCACGGCAAATTTTCAATGGTTTACCCGCCCCTTTCAGGGTAGGACAAGCACGTTGATTTTGCCAGTGTAGCGCGCGTGCAGCCCCGGACATCTAAGGGCATCACAGACCTGTTATTGCTCAATTTCTTTCGGCTGAACGCCGCAAATCCCTCTAAGAAGCTGTATACACAAAGAGTATGTATCAGCTATTTAGTAGGTTAGAGTCTCGCTCGTTATCGGAATAAACCAGACAAATCACTCCACGAACTAAGAACGGCCATGCACCACCATCCACTGAATCATGAAAAAGCTATCAATCTGTCAATCCTCACAGTGTCCGGGCCGGGTGAGTTTCCCCGTGTTGAGTCAAATTAAGCCGCAGGCTCCACTCCTGGTGGTGCCCTTCCGTCAATTCCTTTAAGTTTCAGCTTTGCAACCATACTTCCCCCGGAACCGGAAGACTTTCGTTTCCGGGAAGCTCCCCACCAAGGCAATATAATTTCCATCAGCGGATCGCTAGTTGGCATCGTTTACGGTCAGAACTAGGGCGGTATCTGATCGCCTTCGAACCTCTGACTTTCGTTCTTGATTAATGAAGACATTCTTGGCAAATGCTTTCGCTGTAGTTTGTCTGGCCACGGTCCAAGAATTTCACCTCTCACGGGGCCATACAAATGCCCCCGTTTGTCTCTGTTAACCATTATCTCAGTCCGTAAAACCAATAAAACTGAACCGAAATCGTTTTCTATTATTCCATGCACGATCATTCAAGCGAAAACGCCTGTTTGAAGCACTCTGATTTGTTCAAAGTAAACTTGCAATGACTGTTAAGAATCCTGTTAAGGACTCAAAACCGAACATTACGATAAATCGATAACACCCAGAAACACCCGAAGGGTTCCAAGGTACCGATACGAATCCAACTACGAGCTTTTTAACCGCAGCAATAATTCTATGTATTAGCAGAGCTGGAATTACCGCGGCTGCTGGCACCAGACTTGCCCTCTGCTTGATACTCGTTAAAGGGTTTAAATTGTACCCATTCCGATGACCGGCCTCAAAGAGAACAGTCTCGTTATTTCTCGTCACTACCTCCTCGAGCCGAGAGTGGGTAATTTGCGCGCCTGCTGCCATCCTTAGACGTAGTGGCCATTTCTCAGGCCCCTTCTCCGGAGTCGAACCCTGATCCTCCGTTATCCGTCACCACCACGGGAGTCGATTATGCTCCCGTCAAGTTGATAAAGTGGACGCTTGAAAGACACGCCGCCGGCACAAGGCCATGCGGTCAGCTTAGTTATTCTGAGTCAACAAGAAGCAGCCGAAGCCGCGTGGTTTTGTTCTAATAAATGCGCTTTTCCGTGAGGACAAAGCTTTGGTGCATGTATTAGCTCTAGCTTTTCCACAGTTATCCATTTAGATAATCAAGATCAAGTAAATCATGGCCATTGTAATGAGCCGTTCGCGGTTTCTCGTTAAAACGATTAAACTTATACATGCATGGCTTAATCTTTGAAATGAACACATCAGTTCAGGCAGGATCAACCAGATATCTTTTATTTAGGTAGTTAGCAGAGCTGGAATTACCCAGTCTGCGGGTAATTAAGCTGTCATTAATATTGATTATATTGATAATTTTGGAATAAAATCTCGAAAATAATCTGAAATTAAAAATTAATGACAGCTTATTATATATTTAATTTCCTTTGCAAAAGATATCTAAATTATTTACAATTTATCAGCGGCACTTTCACAAAAGTTATCAATGGCAATTCCTGACAATTGTCTGGAGCCAAATAAATATTGCAGCTGGAGAAAAATTAGGATTATAAAGCTTATGATTATTATCAGATTTAGAATAAAGCTGCTTTAAAATAAACTGATAATAAAGCTTAATATAATAATAACAGTAAATTTTTTAAAAAAATAAAGCTTATAATAATAAACTTTAAATTTAAAAAAAGATTAAAGTTTATTATTATAAGCTTTATTTTTTTTAAAAAATTTAATTCTTCAAAAAAATTTTTTTAATCCTAATTTTCCTCCCACACATTTTTATAATTGCCCATTTTCTTTTTGCCTTAAACCATTCCCGCGAACAGCGAACAACAAATAGCCCCGCCCACTTTGCCTTAGAGAATTTTTTCTTAAATATTGAGAAATTGAAAACACAGTGATTACGACCATACCGCGTTGAAAGCACGCCATCCCGTCCGATCTGGCAAGTTAAGCAACGCTGGGCTTCCTTAGTACTTGGAACGGAGACGTCCTGGGAATCGGGGGTGTCGTAATCTTTTTTTAATGCTTTGGCAAAAACTTGAGTCTAAGAAAACACACTTGAGTCTATAGAAAACAATTATTTAACTTTTTTATAAATTGTAGTTTATATATACATACCTTTACTTGAGTATATATTTTACTTGAGTCGATTATTTGATTGCCTTGGGTAAATTTGATTGACTGGGGGGGGGGGGGATTTTTAATCGGATCGTCACAGACTCATAAACCAAAAATGCCTGGTGAAATTTGATTGCCTGGGGGAACCCTATTGCCTGAACCCTACGACACTTGGTCAATTGCACTTTGGTCTACTTTGCCTGAGGCAATTTTTAATCGGATCGTCACAGACTCATAAACCAAAAACCCTATTGCCTGAACCCTACGACACTTGGTCAATTGCACTTTGGTCTACTTTGCCTGAGGCAATTTTTAATCGGATCGTCACAGACTCATAAACCAAAAATGCCTGGTGAAATTTGATTGCCTGGGGGAACCCTCTACTTTGCCTGAGGCAATTTTTAATCGGATCGTCACAGACTCATAAACCAAAAATGCCTGGTGAAATTTGATTGCCTGGGGGAACCCTATTGCCTGAACCCTACGACACTTGGTCAATTGCACTTTGGTCTACTTTGCCTGAGGCAATTTTTAATCGGATCGTCACAGACTCATAAACCAAAAATGCCTGGTGAAATTTGATTGCCTGGGGGAACTCTATTGCCTGAACCCTACGACACTTGGTCAATTGCACTTTGGTCTACTTTGCCTGAGGCAATTTTTAATCGGATCGTCACAGACTCATAAACCAAAAACCCTATTGCCTGAACCCTACGACACTTGGTCAATTGCACTTTGGTCTACTTTGCCTGAGGCAATTTTTAATCGGATCGTCACAGACTCATAAACCAAAAATGCCTGGTGAAATTTGATTGCCTGGGGGAACCCTATTGCCTGAACCCTACGACACTTGGTCAATTGCACTTTGGTCTACTTTGCCTGAGGCAATTTTTAATCGGATCGTCACAGACTCATAAACCAAAAATGCCTGGTGAAATTTGATTGCCTGGGGGAACCCTATTGCCTGAACCCTACGACACTTGGTCAATTGCACTTTGGTCTACTTTGCCTGAGGCAATTTTTAATCGGATCGTCACAGACTCATAAACCAAAAATGCCTGGTGAAATTTGATTGCCTGGGGGAACCCTATTGCCTGTGCTTGTCCTACCCTGAAAGGGGCGGGTAAACCATTGAAAATTTGCCGTGATTGGGATCGGAAATTGCAATTATTTTCCGTGAACGAGGAATTCCAAGTAAGTGCGAGTCATCAGCTCGCGTTGATTACGTCCCTGCCCTTTGTACACACCGCCCGTCGCTGCCCGGGACTGAGCCATTTCGAGAAATTTGGGGACCGTTGATTTAATTTATCTAAATTATTTTGATGGAAACCAATTTAATCGCAGTGGCTTGAACCGGGCAAAAGTCGTAACAAGGTAGCTGTAGGTGAACCTGCTGCTTGATCATTACTTTATGTGATGTTCAATTTTGAATCGCAATGAAATAATTGTTGTGTAACGGCTGTCGCTGGTGTCTAGGTGTTGCTGATACAGTTGTGAACGTCCGTGGCTGTATATGTGGTGACATGTTAGGACTATAATGAGTTTAAGACTTAATGAGCCTCTTAAGTGAGGACGCCAGCACTCTTTTTTTCTCTATATTTTAAAAAAAAACAAAATTCCTAGCCTTTCCGGTGGATCACTAGGCTCGTGGATCGATGAAGAACGCAGCAAACTGCGATAAGTTTTGCGAACTGCAGCAGCCTTGAGCATAAAAGTTTTGAACGCATATTGCCGCATAGGGGTCAAACCCTTTGCTATGTCTGGTTCAGGGTCATTTTCTTTCAAAGCGAAAGCTTTATTGTATAATTGCTTTTGTGGCTTCTTTATGTTTTAAATTGATTGTTAGATATGTTTAATTGTTCGCATGTATCATCAACAATATTAATTTTTTGACCTGAACTCAGTCGAGAGCACCCGCTGAACTTAAGCATATCAGTAAGCGGAGGAAAAGAAACTAAACAGGATTCCCCCAGTAACGGCGAGTGAATAGGGAAATGTCCATCGCTAAATCATTTTGCCTAAGGCATTATGAGGTGTAGCGTATAAGCCGTAATTTTTAATCTTTTGTCTCAAATAAGTCCCCTTGAC